GAGGGGGAGGGGCGGGGGGCAGGCCAGGAGAAGGCGCGGGACATCGGCCGTAGACCCGGACAGACGCTGACCATGCGCCTCCAACAGCGCGCTTCCGTAAGGCGCGTGCGCCGGGCCGGCCATCCGAGTAAGATGGAAAAAAAAAAACCCTGACCGGCGGTCGAGATGGGGCAGCGCGCGACCGCCACGTGGCCGCGTGGCACGTTACCGAACCGAGCTGCGCCCCCGAGCGCGCGTGCCGGCGTGTGCGTCCATATAGGGAGGGGGGCGGGGGTGCCAGTGGGTGGCTTGGCGGGAGGTGAGAGTGCGGAAACGAACGAGGGCGTGCAGAGGAGGCGCGCAGGCTGCCCGGTCGACGAGAAGAGAGCTTCAGGTCCGGACGACGGACTCGGCGGCGGCGCGGCCGGCGTGCATGGCGGGGTCTGCGTCGCGGCGCGCGCGGGCGAGGAGCGCGGTAGCGCGCGCCGGCGTGGTACAGACGGTGGCGGCACACGAGACAAAGGTGCTGTCGGTCGCGTGGAGCGGGTCGGGGCAGTATGTGGCCACGGGCGCGCGGCAGGGCGCGGTACGCGTGTTCTACGTGCTGCGCGGCAAGGGCGGCGCGGTGCGCGCCAGCCCGATTCGCACCCTGACGGGGCACGCGGGCGACGTGCTGGCCATGGCCTTCTCGCGCTCGGACTTCCTGCTCACGGCTTCTATGGACCGCTGCGTGCGCCTATGGCATGTGGATACGGCCCTGTGCCTGAGACGCTTCGTGCACCCGGAGATTGTCACGGCCGTCGCCTTCCACCCGACAGATGAAAACTTTGTCATGAGTGGCGGCTGCGACGGCGTGGTCCGCGTGTGGAAGCCCGCGGATCATGCGTGCGTCGCGGAGGAGGACGTGGGCGCCGTGGTGACCGCGGCCGAGTTTGGGCCGCAGGGGGATGCCGCCTTCGTGGGCACGTATGACGGCGTGGTGCATGTGCTCGGCGTGGGCAAACTGGTGGCCGGCGTCGGGGGGCTGGGAAGTGACGTGCAGGCCGAGAGGGAAGGCAGTGACGACGAGATGAAGCCGGCGCCCGGGCTAGGCGTGTCGACGCGGGTGGACGTGCGGCGGCGGCGGCGGGGCGGCAAACAAGGCGGCGTCGCGGGGCTGGCGGTGGACGCGGGGCGGGGGCGCATGGTGGTGAGCGGGAGCGAAGGGCGTGTGACAATGCTGGGTGGTGGGGTGGAGGCCGCGGTGGTGGAGCGCGTGCGCGTCGCGGGGAAGAAGGGGGAAGCGGGTGGCGTGCGGCTGGGCGGCAGCGTAAGCGCTGACGGCCGGTACGTCGTGTTCGACGGAGTCGGGGGTGCGGTACGCGTGGTGCAGCTGCCCGCCGGGAAGGAGAGGACGAGGCGGAGGGAGGCCGTGGTCGAGGTTGAGGCCGTCAAGGTGATGGAAGGGGCCGCGGTTAGTTGCGCCGCTTTCGCGACGGAGGGTGCAGTGCAAGTGGCCGGGGCCGCGGAGTGCTTCTTAATGGCCGTCGGCGGGGACGATGGAAGCGTCCGCATCGTCGCCGTCAAGGAGTAGGATGTTAGTTGTACATGGGGAACTGCATAGTGAAGGCCAGCAAAGAGCAGAGGTCCTGTAAACGAAGGCACAGCCCCATCTCGCGCCAGGCTCCATATCTCTCCGCCGGAACTGTGCTTTCTGTAAAATACACCAGCCTTCATCGCTGGGAGGCTCGCACTGGTCCACTTGTACCGCATCCGTAGGCCAGCATCTCTGCCGAGATATCAAAGTCCTCCAAACACCTTTCTTTCGCACCCAGTCTCCATTCGCAGAGCTCGTCGCCGCCCCCGCCAACTGATTCCGGCATCACCCTCTTCGCGATCCCCTGTATCGCCCCCCCGCTGGTCGCCGCGTCTCCCAACCGATGATTCCCGCGCGCGCGCGCGCAGCCTTGAGCCCGCGCCGCCCGCTCGCCATGACGGCCGCGTCGAAGCCGCGCCCCGGCCTCGACGTGCCCGCGCGCGAGGCCAACGGCGACGCCTTCACCCAGCTCACACAGTTCGGCGCCGGCGCGCTCGCGGGCCTCGTCAACACCCTCGTCCTCTCGCCGCTGGACGTCGTCAAAACCCGCCTGCAGGTCCAGGGCTCGGCCGCGGTCCCGCCAACCAACTACCGCGGCCTGTTCCACGCCCTCAGGTGCATGCTGCGCCAGGAGGGCTTGAGCAGCTACTACCGCGGCTTGAGCGCAAGCCTGTCCGCCTTCGTGCCCAACTGGGCCATCTACTGGTACTCGTATGAGACATTCAAACGCACGTATACGCCGCGCGGCGCACGCTCGACCCCGTTTGTGCATGTCTTCGCCGCTCTGTCAGCAGGCGCGATCACCGCAGTTACTACCGCCCCCTTCTGGACGCTCAAGTCCCGCCTGCAGGTCGACATGACGTCGGCCCCTGCGCATCGCAGATACCGCTCCGTGCCACACGGCCTGCGCAAGATCATCGCCGAGGAAGGCGTTTCCGGCTTGTACAAGGGGCTCACACCGACACTGCTGGGGCTGGGCCATGTCGCCATTCAGTTTCCGCTGTATGAGCATCTCAAGAGCTCGCTTTCCGGCGGCAAGTATGAGGATCTCAAGGCCGCGCACGTCCTCATCGCCTCCTCGCTGTCCAAGATCGCCGCATCCGCCGTGTTTTATCCGCACGAGGTCTTGCGCACCCAGATACAGGTCGATCGCACCGTCGCTGCCACGGGGACAGAGCCGGCAAGAATGGCCAGCTTGATTAGAGACATAATCAGGAAGGATGGCGCAAAGGGCTTGTACCGCGGCTTTGCCACCAATTTGATGAGAACTGTGCCTGCCTGTATGCTCACGTTTACGTCTTATGAGTTGGTCAAGCGTTATGCACACAAGCATGCGATGAAGGGGAGGGAAAATCTCGATATTGATCTTGACCCTGCTATCGATTTAGAAGATTCCCTGGCGAAGAAACGAAAGCCATAGTAGCTGGGGTGGGACCCCGCGTTTTGATAAGAGAATGGAAGTACTGTAGAATACAAGACCGAGTTTTATTCGACAAAAATGAGGTCAGGAACGCGCGCGATTTGCAAAAGTAAGCGCACGAGAAGGGGGCTGCACCAAGGAGCACAGTAGGAGTGGAGAGTAGTGCTCAATCTGTCTGTCGTTGCTTTAACACAACTGTTAACTACATCATGATTCATTTTGGGGGAGGAAGAACAAGACGACGATGCGCCATTCGCGATCTACAATCAATTTATTAATTTTGTTTCACCAAGCAAGCCAACAACAAGCAGTACCGATCGCTACCAGTTGTCAGTGTCCGGGTTGCTCAGTCAGAGCGAGCGTTTATCGTCCGCGGTTCAAGGCGCGATCGATTTCTGAAAACTGTTGTGTGAGTCTCTTCTTCCTTTTCTCCGGCACGGGATACGCGCTTCCATAACTTGCATAGTGTCCGCTGAGGGTGTTGATGGCCGTGTACAATGTGGAAAAGCTGGTGCTTCCGGAAACCTTGTCATTGCGGCGGTACAAGGCGACAAAATCATTCATCTCCTTCCGCGTCTTGCCGACCGTCTCGGCCATACCCGGCGCTCCGCGGCCAAGGTCGCACGCAGCGCGCATGTCAGTAAGCACCTGGGCTGCGTCGGCCTTGTAGTCGCCGCTCATGGTTGAGCGCCCGCCAAACGCAAAGGCGGGAGCGTTGGCGACCGACAGCGCAGCGGCCGCGGCAGCCCCCGCGACAATGAAAGAGCGACGCGACAGCGGCTGCTGAGCTGTCATGCATGTCAGGGCGGGTGCCGCGGGCCGCGCCGCTTGCCGGAAGGGGAGAAGCGTGTGACGGGGTGATGTCAGGGATAGGCCGTGAAATGAGGCCGCCGATGCGGCGAAAGCGGGTGCCAGCACCATGGCTGAGGGGAAGGGTTTGGGAATGGAAGTCTCGCGGGATCTGGTGCAAAGTGCAGTGGGGGCGGACGATGCGTGCAAGCGGAAAAATAAGGGGGGCGGTGGTCGTTAAAGAGGAGAGCGATGGTGGGGTGCGATGTCGGCTGCGGCGAGCAAGGAGAACGAGCAAAAGAAAGAGTATGAGATACAGGGAGCGGATGGCTCACATGCCATACCCTGGATGATGAGCGGGAGCTCAAAACGCAGGCCATCGATCGTTTTCATTTGCGGTTCAGCCACAATTCATCACCCAGCAGATCGCTCTGTAAGGACTCCCAATCGGTACACCTCCCCACGTTTTCTTCTGTAAGATTCTGTTGCTGTAATCCCCCCACCGCATGTACACGTGTATTAAACGCCTGTTTGCGCCTTCCTCGTCCACCATCAAAAAGCCTTTCAACACTCCTTTCCCTCGGACCCACATCGTAGTCGGTAACTTCGAAGGTACCACCATGTAGCCTTTACGGTAGTCAGTAAAGGGAAGTCTGATCCGTCTTACCGCTATGACATATATTTAAAGATATGCATACGTGCCCACAAGTCCCGGTACAAAATCAGTCTCATATCATAGATCTTAAAGTATCTCCACGCAGCTGTTGCTAAATGCTTCTTTTACTACATTCAGTATCGCCATCTCGTGTTCCGTCTTCCTCTTTCACTGCAACCCATCCATTCAGTTCTTTCCATGTGACCCTCTTGGGTGGTGCTCTCTTTCAGTTGGCAGTGATTCTACTCCTCGACAGAACGCCAGAGCACTCTTAAACCAAGCTGTAACTCAAAGTTCCAGCGGTTCGGGAGCAATACTACGATGCGTTGTCTGCATATTCAAAGGAAGCCTTGACTCCGAATAATCTTGCACTACTTTACATCGCAGCAACCAGAAAAGGCTCGATTCCCTGAATTATGCACCTCCGAGACACTGCAGTGCTTGTCCTTATTTTCTTCGTAATCAGCAGGTTCAGGAGCTGACGCATGCGATGTTCAGATTTCACGGCTACTCTTAATGTGCACCGGACAGTGGATAATGATTCACTGCGATCGTCGTCGGTGGAACTGTACCTTACTTTCCCTTGCGTCAACGGTACTGATTGTTTATGTTTCAATATTTTTACGAGGTACTTACCGACATCGAAATCCAAACCACTTCTAGAAGATACTTCGCATCCCTGATAATGGACTAGAAGCCGTCTTGAATCGGACTCTTCCTTTTTCGAAACGTCATGAACCTGGAATTACTTCGGGACAGGCACAGAATTGTCCTTTTGCGTCTGCAACCCTGGCAGAGATGAAACTGACCTACGGTGCGCGCTGATTGCGAGACCGATGCGGCTTGGTCGCTAAAGGCCTTCGCCGACGGAGATTGATTCAATTGTACTATGCACCACAACGTACATATCGACGAGATGCTCCCCGTCGATCCCATCTACGATTGCATAGTCGGCAATTGTTGCAAGCATCAACTTCCACTGATTCTGGCGTAGGTCGGTTTCCAAAATACGCAGAGCTGGACTTTCTGACGCAAGAGTACGATTATTCTCAAATGACAGTCCTTCCAGTCGTTACCAAGTTTAAACCTCCATTTTACTATTCCCGGAGGTATATATACTGTATGTTCAATACAGCCTTTGCAAGGGCAAGCTGTTAGGTGAGACAGAATGTGTCACCGGAGGACGAACTAATTATTTCGCAACAGTTACCTAACTTGTCTCACTCCAGGGGTGATACAATGCGTGCCTTTCAGTTCTGGAGATCTCGGAATGTAACACATGTTTTTTAATGATACTGTACAGTATTGGTGTCATGTAATTAACCTGTCGGATGACTCACGTTAGTGCTGCTGTAGATGATTAACACAGCTTAGAAAGCTACGATGCGAGGGAGTTTGCCAGTTGCAAGACCAGTTTTCATAGCGGGATTCTGACACGTACAGAAGCCCGTAAGGAATGCATGTGGGATATGATAATCGTTCCGCCCGAATCAGTGCACCCGTTGACGGCTGACGTCGCAGTCACCGTCTTCTTTCGGGGAAAGAAAGTTGTGTCGCCGGAGACGTGGCGGACCGGCAGCCAATGAAGGAGTGGAGTGCTCTTGATGTCTGAGCACATGATGCCAGACATCTAAGCTGCTGAGGAGCATGTATTGGATGTTTCTTTTTGTACAATCCAGCCGGGTCGGCTGCAGATCTTTTTCTGCGGCTCCCCAGCGCGCCACTCCTTACTCACAGTAACTTTCTGCGCTAGAGTGCGTAGTTCATAGCAGGGCTCACTTTCGAACGGGGCTCTTGAGATGCGCAATCAGAGATGGAGGCACTCTGTATTCGAAGGGATTCAATTCATCAGAAATTTGAGCTGTCGTGTTCTTCTCGGACTGTATACTTTGATACACCCAGATCCATCGATAGTTGTGGTGGAAATTTGTGATTTGACACTTCGCCTTCAAGCGCAGTGGAAGTTTGCACCGGTGCTTGACCCTCAAGTCATGGCAACGAGCCATATGTCTTGCCTTCTCGGTCTCTGCGGGTTACCGAGCAATGGCTAAAAATGTAATGTACACGTCTTGCTCAAATTACTGCCATCGCAAGGAGGAAGATATCCAATGCACGGTAGCGATAAGACCACATCAAATCTCAGCCTCCAATACTGCTCGGATTATGCTGCCGTCGTGTTCCGCAAGCAACCCGATACTTGTATCCTGCTGTATCACCGTTTACATAGGAGGGCTCTTGTTCATCAAAACACTTGCTTTGCCCTGTTTCGCTGTATTCTTTTCTCTTCTCCCGTTTGTGCTCAAACTATCAAATTTTCATCTTGAGCTCTATCTCGACAGTGTAGGATAATTTACGAATAAACGGCGCAGTCACGCATATATGACATGCATCTTCTACACATTTCTATACCGTTTCAAAAATTTCTGCAGGGGAGGCGTCGTTTCGGTGAAAAAGCAATGTTGGCTCTGCTATTGTAAGGAACAATCTAAATGTTCCTTACAATAGCAGAGCCAACATCACAACATTCGACGGGGCTCTCGTCCCTTCGTATCCTCTCGTCAATGCCCAGCTGGAAATGCTTTGCATGGAACCCTACGGTATGGTGTCTTTATGACGTGGTGGGGTTTCTATTCGTGACACATCAGGGTCAGTAGATGACCGGAAGGTCGTTTGTGCTCACTAGTGTAAAAATTTGCTTCTCTTCTCCAGAGGAGCATTTTTAATTGCACCACAGTCACTCCTGAACGTCTCGATTATCTGAACACCGCAGGTCTGTCTAGACACTTCTTGTCCTACATTCAAAAGGCCTCGTTCACTCTCGCCCTGATGGCAGATCAACATAGCAACAAAAGGTAATATGCGGAGCGCAAAATTATGAAATTGGCATAATGGGTGCATGTACAGATCAAGACGCTGGGGAACAATTTTAGTCGAACGAGCAGACACTCAATTAACATAAAGTGCTCGGACAATTGCCAAGAACTCAAAAAGAATAGCTTGCTTTGCTATCTTGTATACATGTCTTTTTCGGACAAGGACATCAGTGACAGGCTGCGGAGCCGATAAATGTCCTCTGCAGTCCCGAAAACAATTCTAAATCATTTGACTTGTGTCGTCGACAAAGCATTTTATCCTGCTGTGTTCCTTCCCGATGATGGGTCACAGAGACGGTCTCAGAGACGGTCCCGTCTCTTGTTATTTTCACGCTCCTCGAGAGAGAAACCTTGTAGTCATACGCAGCCTAGGGGCAAAGAAATGAGAAAAGTAATACTTCGAATGGATCTTTGTCGCTCTTTGTCGTTCAAGGAAACTATTTAATGTGACCACTTCGAAATATTAATTCATGCGACCTTTGTGGGGCTGACTATTTTCGATTTTTATTTCAAACGATGAGGGCATTCCGCCAATAAATTAGTCTTCCATTTTAAAAGAAGACTTGAATGTACAGTCAGTCACAACAGAACTATAGCAACTTTCGTGAATACAAAAAAAAGGAATGCTTCGAATATACATATATCTGAAGAAGAAACACTGCCTTCATATTTGTCCAATCAAT